TTACTATCTACACACACACATTACATTCCCGCGTCACGTTGTCCCCCTCTTATATATACCCGCCTACCCCATCTAGTAAATACTAGAGCATTCATGAAGAAACAAGATAGTTCTAGAAACTAGAGGGCGCCACAGTAGTCATGTGACTCGCTGACGCAACAGTATTGTTCGTCCCGAACAATAGCCACTTAAATTAAACCAACAGATAATTAACAATAACTTAATTAAATGTACAGAATTTACAAACACAAAATTAAAATTCAACAAAGTCTCTTAGTTTTACGGTACGCATCTTCTTCTGTACTGGTCTCTGTCTCGTTGGCTTCTGCTTCACGTGAGGTTCATCTGCTCCATCAGGAATTGTCCTATTATCGGTAATAGTCACATCAGTGGTAGTAACTTCATAAAGGGCTTCACTGATTGCCTTCTCAAAACCGTTGGCTTCTGCTTCACGTGAGGCTCATCTGCTCCATCAGGAATTGTCCTATTATCGGTAATAGTCACATCAGTGGTAGTGACTTCATAAAGGGCTTCACTGTTTCCCTTCTCAAAACCGGGAAGAATTTCTTCTTCGACAGTGGCTTTTTCAGGTGACACAGTGGTGTCTTTTGTTCCATTATTCACTTCGTTCCAACTGAAATGTCCTGGACTGTGATAATGCCAAAGCCTGTTGGCATGCACCACCTTTGGCTTGCCTCGCCAACCACATTTTATTCGGAAAGTCACGTCTGAGAGACGATCGACTATGTCATATGGGCCTTCCCATGGAGAAGACAACTTAGGAGACTTCCCTTGGGTCTTCCTGAGATTATACAACTAAGCCTTGTCTCCTGGTACAAAGCTGACTTTAATAGATCTCTTGTCATAAAATAGCTTCATGGAATCAGCAGACGTTTCCAAGTTTGAAAACACTGTAATCAGATCCACTGGCAACCGAAGCTTTGCTGGAGTTTACCAAGTGGCTTCATGCTCTGCTGTTCTATAGGATATCAACAGTGGAGGGAGTAAGACATCTCAGTCTTCTTGGTGGCTATTACAAAACTTTGCCAATTCCTGTCCAACTGTCCAATTGTACTTTTCTACCATCCCATCAGACTGTGGGTAAAGGGGCATTGTCCTGGTCTTTCGTATGCTAACAACTTGCAGCATTCATGGAACACAGCCGATTCAAAGTTACAGCCTTGATCTGAATGCAGT